CATCATACGTAACAGTGACTTAGGGAGACAAATGCCATCACTCCAGATGTCCCCTCCTTCCTCCTTCTTCCCCCAGCTCTATATGCTGAGCATGACACCATATGGTCTGGAATATCCCTTGGTCAGCTAGGGTCAGCTGTCCTGGCTGTGTCCTCTCCCAGCTTCTTGGCACACCCAGCCTACTTGCTGACAGGGCAGTATGTGAAGCAGAAAAGGCCTTGATGCTATGTAAGCACTGCTCAGCAGTACCTAAAACATCCCTGAATTATCAACACAAATCCAAAGCATAGCCCAATACTACCTACTGTGAAGAAACTTAACTCTATCCCAGCCAAAACCAGCACAAGCTTTTATCTGAGATTCAAGGTGTCCCTTCTCATTAATCTTTGTAGTCTGGGTGATTTCTTGTGACTACAGACTACTGTGCTTCTTGTAAAAATCATACTTTTGTAATTATAGTGTAGTGTTCTGTCTGAGACTGAGTCTTTATGGAGCAGTAGAAGAGACACTTTGTGCCATAAAAATTATAAAGAACACAGTAACTCAAGGCTAGCAAAACTAATGAGACAGAGGTAAGGCTGTTTTGCAGGACCTTAAGGAGTTGGATTTTAATTTCCACAGCAGATAACCAGAGATGTGAGCAACCTTGACACAAATTGAAAACAAATTGTTATGTGGTCCACTGAAGCACCTCTGGCACAACTAATTGCTATGAACCCTGCTTGGATTCAGGCAAACATCCATGACAGAGTTTCCTCTGGGGCCGTGGTCATCTCTTCCCTTGCCTGCCTCTGTGTGCCCTGTGTCCTAAGGCTTAATGCCATCACCAAGAAACATGCAACTTTCTAAGAAACACAGCCATATTTGGGTGACCTCTATATTTACCTTGGGTTGCAAACAACTGAAAAGGCTTTTCTGGTGCCTTGATGTATTTATATTTGTGTTTCCATTACAGCTGCATGTTTTGTACCTGTTTCATTGGTTTAAATTAAATTTAAACAATGAGCAATCTTAAAACAACAGAGCTGTACAACAGAACTGTGGACTTGATTGCAGAATTACAGATGATCTTACAAAGAAGAAAATAAAATTAAAATATTATATTTCAGACTATATAGTAGAAGTCCTCCTTAGCTTTTATGGTATTTTAGCTATCTGGAGGGAGAATGGGCAAAGAAAGGGATGGTGTGTCTCTGAGCACCTCCTTCTTCCCAACTTCAAAATAGAAGACCTTCTGCCTTCCCCATCTTAATGTTTCCAAGCCTACTGCGTCCCTGAAAAATACTATCCCTCCTAGCTCAAGTGACTTTCTTACAAAGCAGAACAATTCTTGCAAGACTTTTTCAATCATGTTTCATAAGCATACCATTTCGTAAGGTCCAGTTATGCCTAGGCAATAATCATGACACAGTAATTATTAACAGGATGGATTATAAATTTTGCATTTAGAGTGTTCTTTCTAAATAAACTACCTTTCCCACCTCCTATTATTTTGGTATCCCTGCTGCCATAAAATCTAACCTGTGGTTGCAGTCCCAGTTTCTTTCACCTATTTCTTGCTCAGTTTAAAGTGGGAAAAAAAATGCTTGTAGGATCAATCTGTTCAATCCATTTGAGGAAAGGAGAGTGACAATGTGCCTAAGAAATTTTGAAGCACAGTGACTGACAAAGGTTCATAGCAAGCAACAATAATAATGTGTGTAAAGTGGATTTTTATTCAAGATTTCCTTAGGCAGCCCCTTTCCTATCAAAAGATATTATTTCATGATAAAAATCATTATATATGTTGAGCAAAACATTTCTATTGTATTCTTAATAAAATGTCTTTTTCCCCTGAAAGTGTCTTGAGACGAATGTACACCAATGTGTGAAAACATGATTTTATCTTCTTAGGAATTTGTTATGAATAGTCTTTGAAAGTGTCTCTCTCAAGCTGAGTTTTTTCCCATTCAATCTGCACTGTTTGTATTTATCCTCTCACCAGTAGCATCTGCAGCCAAGGCTTTCTGCAGAGTCAAATCACAGCATTTCGAATGAAATGTAAAATCCTTAGTGATGGACCTCTTCAGTAGACTAAATGTAGCAAGCACTAAATAAAAATTGATTGACTTTGTTTCAACAAAATGGTGACATGCATTTCATTATGAACTCACCCGCCTATCTGGCTCTGCAGTTGTACTCAGTAGTGGTAGTCCTACTTGTAAGTGTACTGTGGGTATGGTTTAAAATCTCAGCCATATGGCTGGACCCTGTTGAATAAATCCACAAGCAATACCAATCAAAAATTCTGAAATCTATATTTTACTTTAAAAATTATGAAAGTGAAATCTTCTGCTCTGACTGTACAAAGGAGTGGTCACATACAACTGAAAATTAATTCCCTGTAAAGACAAACCTGCATGTTGGTTATGTGTTGTCATGGTTAAGGATTTAACCCAGAGTGTCTCAGCATTGCAGACTGAGACTATGTTAAATTACATGTAATGCTTTCAAGTTTGCAAGATAATTGAAAAGATATGAATAAAATATTACAAAATAAATACCTGTTTCATGTAGCAGCTCCTACTCTTATTTACTTCATCGCAATGATAATAATACACTGTATTGCAGTTTAGGGGACAGTTAAAGGACTGGAATCTCATTGTGCCAGGACTTGACAAAATAAAACAAAAATATGCTCCTTTCAACAAAGCTGTTGCCAGTGCATCGGTGAAGTGATTAGTTAGGATAAGTGTCTCACTTGCAGTTGGCGAGCTGTGTGAGGCTCCCAGAAGATGCAAATGTGGCGCCACCGCGGGACTCGCAGGCAGTGACTGATGGCTTGGCCATGCTGGTGGGAAGGCTGTCTGCAGCCAGGAGGAGGCCTGGCAGCAGAGCCCATTGCAGCCGTGCTGTTTGGCTGGACGGTGACACAGCTGCATACTCACCCTGCTCTCATTTGGGGTCGTGAAGTGGCTGGGGAGCCTTTCCCACTGAAGAGGTATTTGTCTCCATTAGTACTTGAATTTCATAGTAGGTTCCCTGTAGGTCTCCCAGCTCTTTTGCTTGTCATGTGTTCTTTCTGTTTTAGGTTTATAACTTGGATAATATTCAGAGAATGTAAATCTAGGTGTCTAAATAACTCATTTAATTTATAAAGACATGCAAACACTTTTACAAGGTTATTCAGAGCAGCTAAGTTAATTCCTTACAAAGGATTGTGTTAATGTATTCCTGACTTTTTGTCTAAGTCCTGCTTATTCCATATGAGTTTATTCAGCAAGTGTAATAAAACCTGTTTTGAGGGTCTACCAGCATCTAATATATCTGTAGCTCCCAGGAGAAGGAAATGTAGATGTCCAGGTACATCTGCAAGTAGGAAAGCATATATGGAACTCCATCTGGATCCTGTACTAACAGATTATTGACCAAGCACTCATGCACCTAGACCATAAGCAACACTAATACTGAGGAAACACTCTGGAATGTGAGATATGGAAAGAGATCCAAGATCATGAATGAAAATGAAATTCTGGTGCTGTTTTATCTGTGTTGCTTTACCACTAGGTATGTTTTCAGAAAATGACCTTAGAATTAATTGGCAGACTTCTCTTGCCCAAGCTTTTTTATATTACAAAGAGTATTGACATTTCTCCAGAAGTCATTAATAATATTCACTCTGGGAATTACCAGTTTGTCTAAATAGGGTAAATAGTAACACATGTTGAAAAATAGATGATCTAGCCTAACTGATTAATTCACAAAGAAGCTATATAACTGTGTTATGAATACCCATTTCAACCCCTTTTCACTGCTCACACATGCATGTACACACATATACACAAACTCTCATTTAGAGCTTTCCTCCTGGGAAGCATTAAAGTAAATGGAAAGCTGCTTCTTTTCCCAAATCCTCTTATTCTGTATTCTTGAGAAGCAGAATTAAATGTAGGGAGTGGGATAGAAATACAGAAGACATATTTAAACCTAAAGTCTTCTTCTGTTAATTTAGTTGTTCAATTTAAATTTGAATAGAGATTAATAAATTACACAAATTATAGCACTTTGGACTTGGGTGGACCAGTGGGGTCATATATAAGCAGTGTTGAGCTTTTGGAGCTTCAACATACTCATTCATATTAGTCCAGTGCTAACCAGAGAAATAATCGCTTATCACCTAGTTCAGTAATCAAATAATGGAAAACCAATCTCCAGGAGTTTTGACTGGAATGGAAAGTAGTTTCTTATTGCATTTGTTTGCTGGAATATTGAGGATTCAGCTGTGGTGAGTTAATGAGTGGTATTTTAATAAATTTCTGAATCTGGATACATAAGCATCCTGATGAAACTAGAATTTCATATCACCTATATCTTACAAATGTTTTTGTCTTTGCAATGTAATGCTACCTTGCACAGAATGTTGACTGGCATGCTAAAGTACTGTTATAGTTCTTGAATACTATTAATTATGATATTTCTTCAGTGGAAATATATTAGGGGACTGTCAGGGGCATATGTTAATTGTGTCTGTATTGCTTCGCTTCATTTATTGGATATTTTTCCTGTGATATATATTAATAGACTTCTAATAGATGTGGCTGCATTTTCAGAAGAAATGGGTGTAGCAATTTAGAGTAAATTTGAAGACAGATAAGTTCCATGTGAGGCAACATATGAAATGAAAACAGTGCCTGAGGTGAGGTAGTCACCAAATCAGTGTTCTGCTCATCCTATCTCCCATGAAGTCAGTGTTACTATACTAAACATGTGCTAGCAACACATTTGGGCATGAATCAATATGATAAATTTAAAATTTGCAAATAATGTATGATTAACTTGCTCTACCTTCTGAAACCTGACAAGCCATACCCAGAAAAACAAAAAGAGGTACTAGAATCAAGGTGTTCGGGTTTTTTTTCAGTGTAGGCAACATTGTACCATATACTGACATTAAAAGCTTCAGCTTTTCAGACAGCTTCAAGAGAGTGCTGAAATGTGTCTTTCCTGTCTGTGACATGCAGGGAATTACTGGAATGCGGCCTCTTTCATTACTTCATCATCTTACCTTCACTTCTCCACCTTCCAAGGGGAAACCAGTGCAGATATCTCTTTCTATTTCAAAACATCAGCCTCGGATGGGGTGTTTCTTGAGAATCTGGGGAATACTGACTTCATCAAACTGGAGCTGAAATGTAAGTATGTATTTGCTTACCATCACTCTTATTGGCACCTGAAGCGGGTTTGTGTCAGGTAGTAGGTTTCAAGAAATGTGTATAATTCAATATGTGTAAGCTCACTAAATTCTGCAAAAACTTCCAAATCAAGCTGCTTGACATATTTTCAGGTTGGCTTATATGGGAGGAGCACTTGAAGCATATTTGGATTGTTTACTGAGGGGAGAAAAACAAAGAAGAATAAAACTGGTAAAATCAGTTATAAAAATTAAATTGACCTGAAAAGATTTTTCAAAATTTCATGTCAAATTTATTTCTTTTGTGTGTCTTCAGGTCTTTGTGCTTTTCTATTTCATCTCAGAATTGTTTTGGGAATAGGGGAAAGAAAGAAAAAAGAGATCATCCTAATCAGCACTGTAAGGAGCCAAAGAGCTGAAAACTTGCATATGACATATAAAAGCCCTAAAAAATCTCATAAAAATAAATCTTTATCAAGGTTACCTGTTATAAAACCTCTGATCTAAAAAACAGAGCATAATGATTTCAAGAGGCAAGTTCATTTTATTATTTAAACCATTTTTACTGGCTCAGGGGCAGACTTTCCAAAGAAGGCGCCGAAATCCTCAGCTGTACCCAAATTCTGCTTAGTGCAATTGAAGCAGTTGAATTAGGAGGGAAAAATGTTTTATGTCTCCTCTGTTCTCCCTCAAGCCAGTTTAGCCTGCCATAAGCAGGAGCAGTGACAGGCTTGCTGTGCTACAAGTGGCTGTTACTGCAGCCTGTAGCAGCACGTTACAGCAGCAGGGTCATGCAAGTGCAGCAAGCTGCCTCCCCACATGCCAGCACCGGGAAAAGCATCTGAGTTGCCTTTTGCTGCAGGAGCTACTCATGAACGCGAAGGACCCAGCTCTAAATATTGATGCACAGAAGTAAGCATCAAAAGTCACTAATGTTGAAAGAGAATAAATTCGTTGCATACCCCAAAGAATCTATTTTTATGCAGATTCAATGTGATTTACACACACACATCTAATTTTAAAAGAAAAAGCCATTTTCAACACTTCCAGACTCTAAACATACAAATCAGAATGAGGAAATTTAGAAACCACCAGGAGGCCCCTCTAAAATGTGACTAGATTTTCTCTCCAGGTAGGAGTAAAGTGTCAAATTCCAAATGGGTGACAACTTCTTTCCCTATTTCTACATGGAATTTAGTTGATGCTACTTAATCCGAATTTTCTGTAATCTGCAACTGGTGCAAATCCAAATAGCTCCTATTAAGTCAAGGGGAACAGTCTCATTTGTACTAATAAGGAGCACAGCCCTTTAATAATAAAGTAGCAGCTATTTCCAATTTCACTTTGAATTTAAGTAGTACTTACAATCAGCTGAGGTGGGCATCTCCAGAGCTTCTTGCTCTTCTACTGTATCGAAGGTGTTCTCAACCACTGTAGTTAAAACACCAGTCATACTGATCATATACCTAAAAGGTGACAATAACAGTGAAAAAAGGTGACTTGGCAGTGACTGTAATTCTTTTGAACACAGCACAGTTTAAATAATAGTAATTTTGCAATGGCTCACTGAATAGATGCATCAGTTCAATAAAACATGTGCCAGTGTACCCAGAATATCATTAAATAGGAGTGTAATATTAAGCCTATGCTTGAGATCCACTGTCTTTGCTGTGATCTGGCATATGCATAAATTCAACCTCTACCTCATGGCCCTGAATCTAAACCTTAGATTACAAATTCTAGACGGCAGAAATTGAAATATCATCCGTAAAAACAGTCTGCAAGGTCAAACATACTATTGCTGCTTAAAATAGTAAAATACGCTTGATTAAAACTATCCTGACTGTATTTGTTAGAAAGTACAAGGCATTTCAGTTGATAAAATTTCATTCACCCTACCCTTTCTTTCCTGGAAAATCAAAAAGAGTTGAATACTGTGGGTTTAGTAAAAAAAAAAAAAAACAAACAAAAAACCAACAACTTTCTTCTGAATTACACATTTATTTAATGAACATTTGTCTTATAAGTTTCCATCTTTGTTCTGCACTTACTTTTTTTTGGAATTCATTCAAATGAAAAGTAAAACTTCAGAATTTCAGAAGTTCCTAACATGGCTTACAATAGGCTGATTCTTAGAAGTCTCCTTCCCCTTTACAGAAATCCTGTAAAATTAATATGTGAATTTGTAACATAAAGTTAAGACAGTAAGGTAATTACAGAATTACCTCTAAAATCAAAAGAAAGTTTCTTTTGCCAAGCTGTTTTCTAGCTAAACACTAAAATTTTCTAGTAGAACGGCTACTTGGTATTAAAAGTTTTTGCATAATGGTCATCATCGCATATTCACTGTAAGCTGCTGCACTTCAAACAGTCGGTGCATTACTTCTGTCTGTTCATTGCCTTCTCACGCAAGTACAATTCTCATTGAAGAAGAATGACTTCCTACAAAACCTGTTCTTGATTGCTTTATTTTTTTCAGTTCCAAAAGGAAAATGCTGAAGTCAGTGTCCTGCCAGCAAACAGTGCATATTCTATTCTTCTGTTACGTGTGAAATATCTGTGTATACCTGTAGTATATGGTTAGTGGTGCATCAGCTTTGCTCTACAGACCAGGAACTGAAAGGTTCTACAATATCCAGTATTTTAATCAGCTTGCTGCACTTGGTGAATGCATTAGAGAAACAAATCATTCAGTCTATAAAAATTCTTAGCTTCAAGTCTTTGGAAAGGAGTTTGCTATTGTGTGTTTTGTTCTCAGCACAAGAGTTGTCACTAGGAATGCTCGTTAAATTATTTTATTGGTGTGTTGTCTTGGAGCTTCTTAAGGTTTAACTAGTGCACAGAGTGTCTTCTAACTCTCTAGATTTATAAGAAAAGGAGGTGGAATTTGCAGTATTTTAAAGAGTAACTCCATGTGCTTCAGCAGAGCCCCAGATTGACATCTCTGAGGAGAGAGGGAATACAGGAAGAAAGGGAAGAACATGTTTCTCTGATTTAAGAAATAGCTTTTCCAAACAGCTGACAAGGAAGACTGTAATGAAAAAAACAGTGATAAAATGCTACTATGAATGTGGTTTAAGTCTTTCTTTATTCCATTTATCAAACAGCTCCTCTGGCAGGATTGTATTTGTCGCCATTTGTGGAACAGTTGGCAGAGATGTAGAATTACCTGAAGCCTCAGTTTCTACATACATCAGTAAATCTACAGAACCCCATTTTTTTTGTAGCTGGCTGGTCATCTGACAGTTGACTAGGACTGCTTAGAAAGCAAGTGGTTAGATAAGGTATAAATTTTTCTGTAAAGCGGTGCTTCCAGAAACCATACATCTCTGGACAAAATTTTTAGATGTTTTTTTAAAATAAAACTGTTTTTTAGAGGAAGAAAATTTTTTTTTTTCTTTTTTAGACCTTTCCTGTACAATTTTGGGAGGGTTTAACCTAAAATCCATTCTTCCTATAAAAACACCATTGAGAACACCATTGTTTCATTTATACAAACCCCCTCTACCCTCACCATGGGCATTTTTTTCCTTCTTTAACCTTGGCCTACTTTTAGGACCCAGAGTTATATAACCTGCTGTCTACAAAGGCTGCCAGTGCAACAGCCTCATCCAGCTTGTTGTCCACATCCTTCATAAAAGTAATCCATCCAAAAGTTTGCATGTCATTTAAATGACATTGGTGTCTTTCTCAGAACCCCTCATTTACTCCCCCATTTTTTACCTGAAAGCACCTATGAAATTTAGTGTCTGCACTATATATAACTATACTGTGTCCATGCAGTAGAGCTGGCACTTGCTCTGAGAGGTGACAGGGACTTGGCTATTAGTATGCAGTACTTTTGTGAACTGAAATAAGCTTTGTGGTCCATCAAATACATGTATTAGCTGTAAAAGACCCACCTACTACTGCTAAACGATTTAGCTGACCATTGCCCTAATTAATCCTTTGCCTTTACCTCAGTCCCCTTGTTGCAGAAGTTGGGAACAGACCTAGCACGCATAAAGCAGAGATGAAAAAACAGCCTGTATGTCATCCAACAGCAATACGGATCCTCCAAGTCTTCACCAGCAATCCTAATGTTCTTTTTTTTAAGCACTTCAGGGTTGAATGTTGCCAAACAACACATGCCAAGAATTTAATTTTTAATTCTTGAAGACTCTCAGCTCCACACCCCATTCGGTTCTTTCTTGCAGTCACTCCTTCCTGAGAATGGTATCTTTGCATAATGGAGTTTGGCTAAAGCCATTGAGGTGCGGGGAGACAGGCCTCCAGGATCCTAACTCGAAACTCTGCTGCAGGCAGGAGACTACCTAAAATCCAGCTGAATATCAACATATCTGTCTAGGGTCAAATGAGCAAGAGTATGGTTTTGTAAATTTATGAGATATAGATTGAAGACTTCAGAGAGTTCTGGCTGTGAAAACCCAACTATTTCATACCTGTGAGGTGTTTGTCAAATAGACTACATTTGAGTATTCTGATCAAGAGAAATCCCAAGTTTTAGAAGAGACGCATTCCTGAAAGCAAAGTTTGTGAGGGGCATATTCCTGCGAATTTGGGAAGAAACATCCACCACCACTCTTTTATAACAGATTCCCAGGACTGTTGCTCTAGAAAGCCTGTGATGAACTAAACTGTTTCTGTAGAACTCCCTTAATGATACTGTCATATAATTCTAATGAAAAAGATACTCTGATCGACTCTGTAGCTCCTCTCAATCCCAGAACTTCCAAGCAATTTACAGACACTAATGAATTGTATCTCACTTTTATTATTTTGAAGTAAGTAAACAGCAAGTCAGTTTTGCAACAGAAAAAAAAAAAAAAAAAGATGATGCTTAGAGAGATAAAGGTCAGCTTGTGTTTGATCCTGGCATGAACATGTAAGAGTGGAAGGAGCTTTCTTATTAACTTATTGTAGAAAGCTAGAAATATTTACAACCCCTACATTCAGAGGTGTCACTTGGCTGATAACCCCTGCAATACTAGCTGCCCAAAA